TCCAAAGGTCAACATTCCAACTGATATCATTATTTGGGTTACGAACATAATCATTAGACATGGATGAAATGATAGAATTACATTTTAAAATGACCGTTTTCAAATGCTCCCTGCAGTAACTTCCGGTCTGATACGACGTCATGATTTTGAAACCTTGCAAAGTTATCTGTGGTTAATCAAAGAATATCAAGGGGCGATTTCGTAAAATTTACACGAAAGGTTGGGAAAAAAACACACCTCTATTTGATGTGCCGTTAGAGGGCGCTCTTTCATGTGATGACGTCATCATGCTATTTTTTCTGTCTGGCATTCTTTACTAAACACTTCCACAATTTATTTGTGTAGAGTAAAATACTTCCGCTTTCGAGTTATATTCAATTGTTATTGCACTTCCGGTAACACCGGAAGTGAAATTCAAGCGGCTTTGTACCCGAATAAGAAATGTTACTCAAGGCACCGCGTCTACAACCTCAGGAAATACAAACACGATACTCTATTTAGTTCAAAAGATATCGCTGAAAATTTTTTCTCAAATTTTGTCCTTAAATTGCTTGTAATTTGATACCTGATGAGGTCATGATTACGTCAGAATTTTTTTTGGACATCTTCGGACGGGGGTTCCAGTTCATAGCAGGTTTTATCATAATCCCGTTAGAAACGTGTGGAAGAAATGTTGGTATGAACATGATCGATTATTTTGTTCAGAGTAATATGCCCCACTCCGGATCAGGGTCGATACATGTTCAAAGATACAAGTTCAAAACATATACCAAGGAGAATTATTGTCCGGAAAAAAGTAGAATAAAGAAACAAAGCCAAATCAGAACCGAAACAAAGGCTTTCTGCTTTTAAGCGGTAAGCCAAAGACTTTAACCATTTCAAAAAGGTGTCCGGGTCGTACCCGATCAGTCAACAAACAAAGATTTATCAGAACGATTTCAAACAGCTTGCAGCCCCCCCCCCCCCGGAAAACTGGAAAAGCAAACAAAAACAAAAACAAAAAGGGAGAAAAAGATAGGGGGAAAAAAGGAAAAAGAGGTATGAAGTCAAAGGGGTGTCAATGGGCGTTGGGGTGGGCAAATGTCCCCCCACCCACCCTCGAAAAAATGATAAACTGAGAATATGCTAGTTAAAGTACGATGATTTTGGGGGAAAAGCCCTCCCCCACCTCCCCCCACCCCACAAAAATCCTGGCGACGCCCATGGGTGCGGTGCAATAATTAGCCGGATCTAACTTGTAGTGTTTTTGTTTTCACTCGTCTGAAATTCTCAAACACGCCGGCGAGGAATAGCGCGTCCGGAGTCACGTACAAGTCGTGATAACCGCCCAAATTTTTGACGTCAAAGTTGTCCCACACTCTTTGAGCTCTGGCGTAACGGATTCTCAATTTAGAGAATTGTACGGCGAGTACTCCGTTTTAGTTCATAGATTTGAATATCATATTACTCGACGTATCTGCAATACAGTTTTTTCTACCTCGATAAGCCTTTAGGTGCTGGTCGTGACTTCATCTTCATTATAGGTCTAGATAATATTATTTTTAAAACTTTTTTTCGCATAAGACCAAAATATGAGAAAATCGATTTTGAGACAGAGATATTTTAGAATCTTGGCAGGATGTGAGACTTCTCATTCAAATTGGCCTAAAGGCGGTCCATATCTACTACTGGTATACCACTACGCGGTATTTCTGCATATCTGACTAACAATGCCACAACCCATGGTTCTTCTATTACACATACATTCAAATGACTGACATTCACCTACCTATTCCAAGAACCGGCATTCGCACTCCATTGGACAGCTGCAAGCATTTTGTTTCCGCCTCCATGTCTGCAGATTCACAGAGTGTCGTACAGAGCTTATCGACGTGCATCTGTATGTTGTGTAAATATTGTAGCCTGGTCAGGGGCCGCAGACATACAAATAATTTGGTAGGGAGAGAGAGAAGATGTTTGGGAGGTTTCAAGTAGCTCATTTTATTTAGAAAAATCGGATCCGTCTATTTATTACTAATTGCTTACCTCTCGACATAAGGAAAAGTTAGGGTACGACTTGAGTTCATCAATAAAGTACTTAATAAAGGAATTTGTTGTAGAAATAGGCCTAAATGCAAGGAATACAACTCATTATGAGAAATTTCAAAGGGCGGGGTTCGGTGATGGTCACAGTGAGCGGGATAGCTTATGGTAACAGCACCATGAGTCTATTCCAAACCCAGTGGGTATCTGACTAAGTTGTCCTGCACTACAACTTACTTGGTCATTATATCAAGGCTCTTCCTTGCCACGCCCAGGCAAAACATGCACAGCCCTCCACAGACAACCTATCCCTAGCACAGCACCCAGCAGACTGAAGCACACATATTTCAATTTCCATACACATGGGACTAACAATAATAATTATGCTGTATACCTGGCTGGACCGATACACATCCAGCTCAGGGGTGTGATGGATGAGAGGGGCAGGCTAAACCAAAAATAGAAGGTGGGGAGGAAGGTACTGATCAAGGGCTAATTTTATTACAATATGCTTATTAATCCATCAGTTAGTCAGATAGGTACAAAGAAGACAGGTGGCTGGCCCTCTAATACCAGCACAAAAATCTTCAATGTTTACCCATCCTCTCTTTTGTACAACCACTTTTGAGTGATTTTGTCCCAACTTTCACTCGGGAGGTAACACACTGAATATACAGAGTTTATACGTCGGTGAAAGGCAAAACCTATAATATTAAATTATTATTAAATTTAATAATTATTCTTAGGATGAAATTTGCGCAGGGATATGGTATTTATCATTACGCAAATTCCATCTTATGAAAAATATGCCTATTCGATATTAGGTTTTGCCCTTCACCGACGTATCAATTTACCCAGTGTGTTACCCCCGAGTGAACGTTGGAAAACATCACTCGGTTGCTACTATTGGGTGGAGTGCAAGCTCGGTGGTCAATTGGTAAGACATCTAACCACTCGACCACCGCGCTTGAAAATAACGGATATGTTGAAATATTGGGGGAAAACGTTAAAAGGGAAACAAAGGTGCATTGTCAAGGGTTGCATTGAAAAAATATATACATTGCATTGGCCTTTTAAGAGAGAACTCGACAGTGTACAAATCGTGATATTGGCCGGTGAAGGCAGTTTGGGTCTATCACACAGATGGATAGTTGCCATCAAGAGTTCTCGGTATTAAGTGAACGTTGTGAGAAATGATTACATTCCCAGTACTCCAGAATCCATTCCACGACCATGGAATCCCAACACGTGATCCTATTTTATTTTTAATCAGTAGTGAACGTTTTATTTTGTTGAGGTAGACATTGCTGAGGAGAGTACGAACAGTAACCTGCGAAGGTCTACCCTGCATCATGTAACACATTTAAACCGTATTCTTAACATAATTATAAACAGAATCATTACATGATGTTCACAAAAACCTGCAGTCTGAAGTGAATGAAATTCTCTTTGAAATACAATTATAGACTCGTAATTGTAAAACCACCGAAATACCCTGGTTTTTATATAAAATATCAGTGAAAATCCATAGCGTTATAATAATTACGGAAACATCAATAATCTACAGTATTGTCAAACATTAACTGAACTTATTATTTAGTTAAATTGAGGTTTACATTACTTACATTACCTGTGCATAGGAATTTAGTTGGGGGGGGGGGTCGGGATCAGCCTGGGTTGCTGACAGAGCATACGCAAAATGCATGAAGTATTAAACCGCCTTTGTATCACCAGACATCACGAATCAGAGATTCATACAACACACTAAATTTGCTTTCCATGATTTTGTTTTAATTTGGGCAATGAAACAGTCAAAGCGTTTAAAGGCAATTAATGGAAAAACGTGCACTCTAAAAAGACCCTGCTCACTTCGTCCCAGAATCCAGGTTCCAATTGGCTTAACCTTTTTCAGGTCAAAAATGACCATTGTCCGGGTCACTTTGATCTAAACCTTTCATACACACACACACACACACACCCACCCACGCATCCCCCCCCCCCCAGACTTGTTTCACATACCTAGTGTGGACTTTCCTTTCTTTTCGTGTAGTTAAGGAACACCAGTGGAAAAACTCATTTTTCTCAAACTGTGAAAACTCTTACAACCCAATTTTTTTTCAATGATTCCCTTTAGTGTTTCTCTTCATTCTGCTACAGATAAACCTAACCCAAAAATGCCTCTAAACCTGTTTTCCAGAAATGGGGAAACACTGTGTGGACGTGGGCAAGTCCACACTTCGTCGCTGCTACCTACATTATGTGGACGTCTTTTGTTCGGAAGTCCACACTGCGTATGTAAGACAAGCTCACCCCCCAGACTTGTTTCACATACCTAGTGTGGACTTTCCTTTCTTTTCGTGTAGTTAAGGAACACCAGTGGAAAAACTCATTTTTCTCAAACTGTGAAAACTCTTACAACCCAATTTTTTCTCAATGATTCCCTTTAGTGTTTCTCTTCATTCTGCTACAGATAAACCTAACCCAAAAATGCCTCTAAACCTGTTTTCCAGAAATGGGGAAACACTGTGTGGACGTGGGCAAGTCCACACTTCGTCGCTGCTACCTACATTATGTGGACGTCTTTTGTTCGGAAGTCCACACTGCGTATTTAAGACAAGCTCACCCACCCAGACTTGTTTCACATACCTAGTGTGGACTTTCCTTTCTTTTCGTGTAGTTAAGGAACACCAGTGGAAAAACTCATTTTTCTCAAACTGTGAAAACTCTTACAACCCATTTTTTTTTCAATGATTCCCTTTAGTGTTTCTCTTCATTCTGCTACAGATAAACCTAACCCAAAAATGCCTCTAAACCTGTTTTCCAGAAATGGGGAAACACTGTGTGGACGTGGGCAAGTCCACACTTCGTCGCTGCTACCTACATTATGTGGACGCCTTTTGTTCGGAAGTCCACACTGCGTATGTAAGACAAGCTCACCCACCCACCCACACACACCCACACACCCACCCACACACACAGTCGTGTTTTACTATACGCCTGAGGACAACCTATTGTGTTTCCCCTCTGTCCCTCTAATATAACACTTTCCCATTGACTAAGCATACAACCATACGATCGAGGACCGGTTTTAACAATAGGCACCGTCGTCCGAGGATCAAAGGCACCATTGTGCTCCTTTTGTTGTCTGTCCTCGAGTGTAATACAATACAAGAGCACACCCACACACACACAAATCGTTTTTACCCGGAAAAGTATCAAAAATGTTTGACCTGGAAAAGGGTGAAGCCAAATAGAACCCAGATTATGGGTCAATCTGATCAGGGATTTTTCAGAGTGTGTATATGTAACCTGGAAAAAAGACACACTTGGGGAACTCGCACTAAAACAAGACTCTATGGGGATTTCACTTATCAAACTAAACTAAACTCAGGATCTTTGAAAGGAAAAGTCGCGAGGAAATTGAATTAATAGAGACACAGACATACATTCTATATTTCAAACCAAAACAAAAGGACAAAAATAAATATTTACAAGAGCTGAAAATCAAAACCAAAACAGAAATTAACTAAAGACTTACCAGAAAACGAAAGGGACCAAATAAAAATTGAAAACCAAAAACTAATTCTTAAACCTTTAATCAAAGACCAAGACTTAACAAAACCTGAAAGACTAAAGTGATGCAAAATCAAACAAGAATTGAAAACTATAATTGTTTGACAACATTTTCAAACATCCTTGCCGAGAAAAATGACAAACTGATAATGCTGTTGTGGACTTTCCACTGTGTACTCAATTAGGTTCATGTCCGATTAAACACAGCCTGGCTTGTGATATTAATGGAGCTATGAGAATCGCTCTCGTGAATGGCGTCCAAACAGCTCATGTCCTCCGCTGATAGCTCAAAGTCAAAAATCTGCAAAAAACAATGAGAACGAAAAATCAATTTAAAAAAAAAAAACCAAAACATGTTTGTACACCAAATCTGGAATTCGGACAGGGCTTCCTGAGACAGGATAAGGCCACGTCAAACAGGATAGGGCGAAATGAAACCAGACGGGGCCTTTAATTCTGAAACCAGATAGGGCCTACTGAAACCAGATAGGACCTCTTGGAACCAGATTGGGCCTCCTGAAACAGGATAGGGCCTCCTGGAAATAGATAGGGCTTCCTGAAACCAGATAGGGCCTCCTGAAGACAGACAAAGCCTCCTGAAACAGGATAGGGTCTCCTGAAATGCAGAAAGGTCATCATGGAACTGAAAAGGGCCTCCTGAATCCAGATAGGGCCTCCTAAAACTGAACAGGGCCGCCTGAAACCAGATAGGGCCTCCTGAAACTGAGCAGGGCCTCCTGAAACAGGATCTCCTGAAACCAGATATATGGCCTCCTGAAACAAGATAGGGCCTCCTGAAACCAGACAGGGCCTCCTGAAATAGGACAGGGCCTCCTGAAAGAGGGTAGGGCCTCCTGAAAGAGGATAGGGCCACCTGAAACCGGATAGGGCCTCCTGAAACCAGATAGAGCCTGAGGCACCCACAATAATGTCTTCCTAATTTGGGGGAAAACAAAAAAGCTTTTAGTGTTGAAACCCACCATCCTCTATTTTGTCTGCAATTATTCTCATGAGAATCTGATTTGTCCATGGGGAGAAATATTTTTACTTAAGGCATTTCTTCAGAGAATGTATAAATTCTCATCCACAAACCTTTTTTTTGTTTGTTTTAAGTCCCAATCAAATGATTTTAGACAGAGAGTTCCTGAAAACGAACCTTGCAATTTTTTTCCACGCGATGAGGTTTGGTAGACTTCGGTATAGTTGCAATTCCGTGCTGAACGGGGAAACAAACACGATATACTGTTGATAATATTGACACCTGCGTTGACTTGCAATTAAAGCTGCTGTATTTAAAATACGCACACAATGAAAATAAAAATACATGTATTTGTAGAGAATTCAAAGAGAAAAGCAATAGGAAAATTGAAAATTGTTTAAATGTGTGTTCGATCTCTAATATAGCTCCCGTGCGTATCATAATGCATATTGTCATATTATACAAACCTGAGTCACCCAACGATTGAGTATTTGGCTGCTCGATCTCTTGTACTTGTTGGCAAGTTCCATCACCTTCGGTTGCGTAAGGGCCTCCCCTTTAGCCATGGGGCTGTGTGCCTTTGATAGTTAAAAACAACAGAGCAAATGTTGGCGAACGGTTGAAACCCATCAGTTATGGGCTACATCCCAACAAAGAATAACTATCGATGTTACCCTAAATACACTGTTATAAATTATGGCGTTTGTCCAAAAACGCGCTCTCTTGACCGTAATGGGTAATTCTTTACACGTATCCATCATAAAATTTCGATATGTGCAAATATATGTGAAAAATCGTATTGAATTCCTGTGGTATTGAAATATATAAAATTACTTATCGTGAAACCATGATGAAGTCATGGCGGGACCGGGCATAGCTGAATATAAAGCTGAATCACGACAACTTCTAGTATGTAGTGTATACTTAAAAAAATAAGTTAAATCCCATTAAGATCTGGTTCCCACTTCTGTAAATAATTCTAAAAATATGAAGTTACTTTCTGGAAACCTACATACATACAACCGACATCATTCAAAAGTCGTTTACATGCTACACGCGTTATCCCGTGAACACGTCAAAAAGCTAAATACGTCAAAATCTAAACATCCAAATGCAAACTCTAAACAGGTCGTGGGCTAAACAAGTGAAAAAGGTGGGTACAAGAGTGTGTTTAGAAATGTGTTTATACTCTTAACGCCATTTTTACAGTGTACCATCCCACTGTATTTAAAGTACTGAATAATTAACAAAAGCCACTAAATAACACAATGAACCTGCCATACCACGATTTGCATTCCAAGTCCTCTACAGTATTCAATAAGCTTTTCCGGATAACAGAAGATATGAAACTCCAGCTGAAATGTAAAAGAACAAATATTGTTATTATCTAAAAAAATTTGGAGAGTCACATGACGATGGTAAATTTTCTACCAAATACAAGATCTAGAGACAATTGCTTTTGGAAAACAACAACACATTCAACTACAAATAACAAAAAGAATTAACATAATGAATCTTTATTCACTTATCTATGGATACCATGCAGCGTAAATCTAACACTGCTGTTTGTGCAATGTAGTAATTATTGTAATCACCTGAATGACGTGGGGAACAATTTTCCAGCTTTCTTCCAAATTTTTCAAGTCGGAAATCTCGAAGTTACTGACGCCAATTGCTTTACACAGACCTAAGCAGAAACGTAAGTGACAGATACATGTACATGTAGTTAAAAACTCAGCAGAAAATGAATAAATTGTAAACCAGTGTTCTCTTTCAAGCTAATAAACCACTATTGAATAGTTCGATCAAATGATAATAGTTTTTTTTTTAACTCTAATACAGTGATTTATAGGTACAGCATCTACAAAAATATTAAGCTACTCGTTCAATCTGGCCTATTGGTACTTAGGGTTGTTAATTTCCATAACTAAAGCTGACGTTTTCATCTCAACAGTTGACTGTATACCTTGGGAGTAAAACTCTTCGAGAGCTTTCCAGGACTCACTGATGAGTTGTTTGGTGTCGGTTCCTTCTGGGGACGCGGGCCAATGAAGTAAGTAAAGATCTACAAAGACAAGAAAAATCATTCTCAAGAATATGGCCTTCAAACAAAATTGGTTTTGCTGGGGTTTCACATATAGCTTGGATCTAATTGAGCTCGAACCTCTTAACGTTAAAATTGTGATTAAGTTTCGTAGTTCCTGGAATAATAAAATAAACACATACCATCTCATTTCCAAAAAGTGGAATTCCAATCTATCATCACCCTCTGAAACTAGAAATATCGGACGAAACAGAATTTGAAAAAAGATAGGACGTGTGGAAACTCAAATATGATTTGAATAATGCAATAAATTTGTGCTTGGTCGGTTTTCAACACTCTGATTAAGACCAGTTGGAGTCTACATGCTGATAATAACCAGAGCCGAAGTTCAAGTTCGGTAAAACAAATTAAAATTGTTCGGTCCAAAAGTCAAAACAAGTCAAAAATTATAAATTTCCAACGACTTTGTTCAAAATTTCACTTCATGTTTTTCGAAACACCCTTCGCAAACATCTCCTTTTATCCGTTTCGTTAGTGTGACGTCACCATGCGTACTTCACACGTTGTAGCATAGCACGAATGGAACCTCGAGCGTTTATCCAATGGGCGCTAGTAATCAGTGGTGTGCGCGCGTGTATGAAATTTTTACTAACGAACCGGATGGAGATTGGTGCGCGCGTCGCGCGTACTGCGCGATGTCACGCAGAACGCAGCTGTGCCGGTGCAATGTGAATTGAGGGCTATTCATACTGACTCACTGGTAGTATTGCGCATGCTTACGTGAGGATTGTGAACGTTTAACCCATGAAACGGTAAAAGGCACCGGATTTCATAGGAGTCCAAATTTCATGTGACACTGGAAAAGGGTTTAAGACCAGCCAGCCGGTCTTTATCAACTGTTTGAAACCGGCCACGTGACGGGCTCTCGACCAATAGGAGTGGGTAGACTGTCAGAGATATTTATGAATAAGATTTACAACAATGTCTTGTCGCTAATAATAGAGTGGATTTTCACTTAAAGGAAACGATAAGAGTAAATGATCCCTAGGCTACTTTGACGATGTCGGACACAATACGAGGGTACTTTATTTTCTGGTTTGGTAAATTTGGGTATTGAAAAGTTGGTTTTTCCAAACATTAGCGTTTTAGTAATGTGTCCACCATGTCTCAAAAGTTAATACGGCCAAGCAGGCAGCTTGAAATGTTTCCTTACCAAAGTATTCCACGCCCACTTGGCTGAGTGAATCACGGAAAGCATCCTTAGTTTCTTGGTAGCCGTACTGACTGGGCCACACTTTGCTGGTGATGAAGAGATCTGCCCTATTCACGCCGCTTTTTCTGACAGATTCGCCCACGAGGTGCTCACATTTGTATAGCCTTGCCGTGTCGATGTGCCGCACCCCGCAGTTTTTGAGGGCGTGCACCACGGCATCGTCGCTATAACCACCGAGATGTGAAGTTCCTTCATTTGGTAATGGAAAAGCGAGAAGTAGTTTAACCGGGAACTGGTCTTTCATGTCTATTTGACCACCATGTTTAACACTTAATGTCTTCATTAGGCCACTGATCCTCTACACAAGGATCAGCGTGGCCACTCATCAAATTTGAAATTCCAAAGATTCATCCGGTAAAATTCCAAAAAAAAAATCGCAAGGCAATGGAAAACAGTGTACAAATGCAATTAACAGAGCACCCAAATTCCCAAGATCTTTGGAAAAATCCCAAGGAGGAGTGGCCACAGTGACGAGGATTATAACGACTTCACCAAATTTCTTGTAAGAGGCGTGATAGTCGGCAGTGTTCCAAAGAAATTCCGAGCATACCTAACAGGCGACCTCGTCCCCAGGGTTTACTATGTTTTCAAACTCGTTTCCAATAGTAAGCCCTTGATAGGTATCTTTCTTTCTGTATCCTGATTAGATACCACAATTTGCAAGTAACGGATTTTGATCGTGTTCTATGGTGTTGTTATTTCCAACTCCGTGCATTACGGGTTTTCACGCTAATGATTACGTCCACAACTTCCCAAAAATAATCCTTTCCTTTTCAAATTGCTCATATGTAATGTGATACTGCATATTGGCTGGAACAGATTGTAACATTTATACTTTGAAAAATAACAATCGTGTTTATGTGACTCAAACCGCAAGGAATTGATTGTTTTGACCCCAGACACTGCATACAAAAACAAACGCTAACGTAAAGCACAGTCAGGTACCAGACTATTGCTTGTTTGCATACGTGCCCAAAAACTTTGGATATGCAAATGATCCAAAACCAGAGTGAGAGAGCAGGTAGTGGTGGGCGCGTAGTGCTCGACACCCTGGGAACGAGGTTGACCTTGGAACCCTCGTTCAGCATACTTCCAACCCAGAGACAGTGAATGAGTGACCCTGGTAGGGAACTTTCTTTCTGTATCCGCTCTTTTCACGCTTCCACCATGGGCATACACAGCCTCGATCTGGCAACTTTACACAATAAATATAGCCGGTTCAGCGATTCCCATGTCGGGGTTCTGATCACTGAACCGGGTATTTTCATTATGTAGAGTTGCCAGATCGAGGCTCTGCATGCCTATGGAGCGTGAAAAGAGCGAATTCTGAATCGATACCGAAACAGCAAGTTACGAATGTAAATCGTGTACTTAGTGACTTTCTTTCCATCGTGCATTAAGTGAACTACATGTATTACTTTAAATCCGTCGTTAAACAATCCTTCCTTTTCCGATTTTGCACATAACTACATCTAATGTAATATAATGCAGTTTTTGGATAAGATTTATGATACATGTATTACAACTTTCAAAACGTCGAGTGTCGTCAAAATGATCGGCTATTAAAGGGAGTAACTGCAGATTACCCCACCACTCGAAGATCACCCCCTAAAATTCAATTGCCAAGCGGTCCAAGGAACTGGAATTCAGAAAAAAAATGTCCAAGTCCAAAGTAAAGAGGGCACTATTTTCCCTTTTAAAAGAATTGCCCAAGGGGATGAATCAGTTCTTACTGTGTAAATTGAATGGGGCAGATGAAAAAAGTTTGAAGGCCAAAGTAGCTCCCCGCGGGTACGGGATTACGGAGTGGAATTGAGTCTGGGAGTGGGAGGAATAAAAGAGGGCGCTGTAGGATTGAGTCGGGGATGGGCAAAAGAGGGGTCTGTTTAATTGTGCCGGCTAAAGTGCACGCGATATATCTGCATGTTCCACTCCATATAATCCGGCTCCATGAATGAACTTTGTTAAATGGGTGTATTTGTCACAGCTTAAAGACAATATCAGGGGTGGATCTAGGATTTTGTTTGCATGGCTCCTTAAAAAGAAATAAACTAATATGTCCGATTGTTGCGGACAGACGGACATATAGGCCTAGGTATTTTTTTTATTGTTATTAAAAAACCTTTTTAGTGTGAGTTTTGAGCCTGAATATTGTACAATTTGCATAGGGCCTAAATACTGTACATGTCTCAATGGTGTACACTGTATTTCTGCATATTTAACTAATTACAACGCCACAACCCATGGTTCTTACTAGCCCCATAAATGTGGCCTATTTACTGGACTGCCTCCGTAAACATAGGCCACACATCCACATGTACACAAATCGTGTCGACTTTGCCAAATTTTGATTTTCACATTTAGGCTTACTTTGTAGGATTTTTTTGCTTTAGAAGCATACCCACCCTCTTTATGGGCTAGTCAGAAAGTGCTGCCTTTTTCAGATGTCTATTTTTTTGTGAAATTTCATGTTGAAACTTTGATACGCAAACGTGTAAAAATGAATCTGGAAATTTCACGAAAAATAAACATCTGGAAAAAGGCAGCACTTTCTGATTAGCCTATAAAAAGGGTGAGTATGCTTCTAAAGCAAAAAAATCCTACAAACTAAGCCTAAATGTGAAAATCAAAATTTGGCAAAGTCGACACGATTTTTGTACATGTGGATGTGTGACCTATGTTTACGGAGGCAGTCCAGTAAATAGGCCACATTTATGGGGCTAGGTTCTTACATGTGCAAACTGAATGAAGGACATTCACCTACCTATTCCAAGAACCGGCATTCGCACTCCATTTGACAGCTGCAAGCATTTTGTTTCCGCCTCCATGTCTGCAGAATTACAGTGTCGTACAGAACTTATCGACGTGTTTGTGTATAGATAGGCTTAATTGTTGCATTACCTATATCACGAATGATATACGAAGACGAATGCACTGGCCTTCAGCGGAGAAACCACTGCAGTTGTACACGCTATTGTAAAAATAATTCACTGACCTGTGATGCTTATCTGAACAAAAGCTACTATATAATAGCGTAAAGCTTTGGACACGAGTGACCTGAAGACCGCCTTCGTGATATAGCGCGCTCAGATTTGTCTTTAGGGACCTGAATAGTGTGGATATCATATTTGGTGCAGTACAATGAAGGGGTGTGGCTTCGCTCGTACCCCCCTTCCCCCGTCCTGCAAATAGGGCGCTGGGAATGGGTGCAGGCCAGTCAATCGGTCCGAAATTGCCTAGGCGCCGGCCACATCACGATTTGCATGCCCTCCATTTTGTTTGTATCATTTGGGCATATGAACTCCACGGTTAAAAAAAAGAAAAAAGTTGGAAGCCGTGCACGGGACCGTGAGCCTGTATTTCTGTGAAATTTGGATGAAATGCGGGCCCTAAAAGCGCTCTTTGCAATGGAGTGTAGGCACCGGTTTCAAAATGGCGATGGTCTTCCAGAGGTGTAATGACTCGAGTCAATTACTCGACTCGAGTCCGACTCAAATCACAATATTTGGTGACTCGACTCGACTCGAGTCCCTCAGGGCAAACGACTCGAACCCCCCCCCCCCCCCCCCCCGCTCTGACACCAAAAACAATTATAACAATTATGGTAACAATAACAAACAGATGACATTCTGCAGTGGTTATTATCTGTATCTGACGGGCCTGTACCTCCCCCCCCCAAAAAAAAAAAAAAAAATCTGGATCCACCCCTATATGATATTAAGAAAGAACTTGACAATGAACAAATCGCGATATTAGCCGGTGAAGGCACATTTGGCCTATTTACTGGTCTGTACACAGATGGATAGTCACCATCGAGAGCTCGATCTCGGTAAGTGAAAGTTAAGTAATAGAGTGAATAAATTCACAGTACTCCAGAATCGAATTTCGACACATGAAATTATTTTTCGTGATCCTATTTTATTTTAATAAGTAGTGAACTTTTGATTTGATTACGTAACACATAATAATGAGGTAGACATTAAGTTTCATAGGAAATACGAACAAAATAACACACGTAACAAACGTGTTACAAATTTAATCTGGAATGCTAACATAATTATAAACAGAATCATCACATGATGAAAATCCATAGCGTTATGGTCATTATAGAAACATCAATAATTTACAGACTTGTTAAACATTAACTGGATTACGTAGTAAAATTAGAAGACTTAGAGGATACGCAAAATTCGCTCTGACAGAGCAAAGGCCTACAGCGCCACCTACTGTTTAAGAAAGGAAAGTGTCTGACCCCCCTTCTCTTCAACAGATTACTTGGGAAACAACGGAGACTTTTATGATGCATGACCGTTCAGCCAATAGACATTAAGCATAGCAGCCATCTTAAAGGACAATGCCTTTGTTTTGCTGGGATATGTATAAGTGAACCTTTTTGTACCTATGCTACTATTTACAGAATTAAAATATCGAAAGATGCCCTCCATCTAAGATGACCGCCACGCACGAGGTCAATAAAATGGTGCCCCGTTATGCTACTTAAAATTACGGTGATTCAGGCGAGTAGTGACAATTGCTGTAAAACACGAATTTAACAACGAAGTATAACACTGCCCTTATATCACCAGATATCGTGAATCAATATCAACAGAGATTTCATACAATACACTACATTTTCTTTTCAGGATAGTTTTGTTTTTATTGGACAATATAACAAGGCATTAAAGGCAATTAACGGAACTCTAAAAAGGCCCTGGATAGATCGACCCAGAATCCGGATTCTCTTTGGCTATACCCTTTTCCGGGTCAAAAATGACAATTTTCCAGGTCATATTGATCCGGAAACCTTTCACACGAACAAAAGTCGTTTTAACCCGGAACAGTATCAGTTCTGACCCGGGAAAGGGTGAAGCCCAATGTACCCCAGATTCCGGGTCGCAATACTTTTCTGCAACCAATATAACCATAATGCGCATGCGTCGGTTGGTAACGGGATGGTTCTCGGACTTAACTTCCCTTTAAACAAAAAAAAATCCTCCAGAATCAAGAATGAGAAAAAAATGTTTTTTTAATTTTTTTTTATCGATCATCAGCCTTCGAAACCATATGATTTAACGCAACACACTGACCACCGAGGAATATAAGCTATAAGAACTTATTCCGAATCAGGTGACATATTTATTTGTTCACGTGATATGTTTCACGCATGCGTATGGTGGTCAATGACTTTGCCAAGATGCACAAACACTATTTGCTGCCGGGTCAATTTGACCAGGGAGTTTGTAGAGTGTGAACCTAAATTTCTAATCAAATACAACATCAGTGCATACTAATTAAGGAATGGCTTTCTCCCCGTTATATATACATATATATATACATACATATTTGCTCTAGCACCAATTAAGAATACACCCCAAGGCATAGTAAAATCAAACAATGGCCACCGAAGTAAACTTGCTAGTATCATGTAACGGTAACTTATCCTTACAAAAATATATACTTTTTCAGGCGTGGAACTCGAAATTCGCACTGACAGCGCATGAAAATTGAGGCAGCAAGAGAATCTCTTGTCTCGGTCGAAGCTTCGCCCATTACAGCTACGCTAGGTTAAACCATGCGGACAGTATAGACGCAGGCCTAGCTTTGAAAGCCTGTGGCCTACAAGGCCCAATTTCCTCAACAGGTTGGTAGCTCTTCAGCGGTGTGCCGGACCAGCAGTGCCGGTCATCCATGGGCCAGTGGGCGCTGCTTCAGTCATTGTCGGCCCTTCCCTGTGGATTGACTGGTTGGTCATACTAGGCATCATGGTCGTGGGCATGGTTGTCACTTTGGAGCCACCTGGGTTTCTGATGACGTCGATGATCTATTAAAAAAGATATGTAATATGAAATTTTCCCTTTGTAGTAAATGAAAACAATTCGCGAATCATAAAAATAACCACATGCGCAACCTATAGATAGTTACCTAGTTTTGCTACCCGTAATCATGATACATAACAATAACATTCATGACCAAATTAAAGCATTACCAAAACCACAACGCAACCGCAAACGCTGCCGCAACTGCAATCACAACCACACAACCGTACCCAGCCCCAGACCCAGCCCCAGACCCAGCCCCAGACCCAGACCCAGACCCAGACCCAGACCCAGACCCAGACCCAGACCCAGACCCAGACCAAGACCAAGAACCAGACCCAGACCCAGACCCAGACCCAGACCCAGACCCAGACCCAGACCCAGACCCAGACCCAGACCCAGACCCAGACCCAAACCCAGACCCAGACCCAGACCCAGACCCAGACCCAGACCCAGACCCAGACCCAGACCCAGACCCAGACCCAGACCCAGACCCAGACCCCATACCAAGAACCAGACCCAGACCCAGACCCAGACCCAGACCCAGACCCAGACCCAGACCCAGACCCAGACCCAGACCCAGACCAAGAACCAGACCCAGACCCAGACCCAGACCCAGACCCAGACCCAGACCCAGACCCAGACCCAGACCCAGACCCAGACCCAGACCCAGACCCAGACCCAGACCCAGACCCAGATCCAGACCCAGACCCAGATCCAGATCCAGACCCAGACCCAGACCCAGACCCAGACCCAGACCCAGACCCAGACCCAGACCAAACTATAATTGTTCACTTAAAGTTAATTAAATGATGGGTATTGGATAATTAGTGTAATGTACCGGGTAAAGTTTACCGGTAAGACGCAAGGATCTTAGCGAACACATTATGTAAAACGAAAAAACACGATTAGAGTTACCGATAATGTTCAGAACCAATTATGTTTTTGTAATTTTATCATAGTTGTGATCATTGATCATGATACAATGTTGGCCATTGGCTCACTATTTTGAGGGAATCTGTATATTGCTCAGGAATGCTTGTCCGGTAGTTAATGAGCAAAGTCTCGCGTTTAGGGGATAGCATCGAGAAAGGCGGATTTGCGGGTCCTACCTTGGGTGTAAAAATAATGAGCAAAGTGGTAGTTGTGCTGACCAAGACGCACAAAGACGTCACCAGGAAAATAGTCTGGGTTTTCAGCGGGTCCATCAGCAGACTAAAGATGGCGCCCACGCAAGACAAGATGAAGACGTTGTAGACGGACATGCCGATGTTCTTAGAGTCATTCAGGGCCGGGATCGTCACATTTCTGGTCTCATATGCTGCGTAAAAAAGTGGATTAAAGCAGCAATAAAAAAGTATTTATTTGTTATCTATTATTATTCGACATATGGATGGGATAACTCACGGCTAATTTCCAGCGGGATACCTTGGTGGAAGATGAGAAAGGAATTTAGGAGTTTTAGAGGCGGGAGTAAAACACTGATCTCTAGATTAAAAGAGACTGGATAGCGTATAGAAAGCCGCTTAAAAAAAAGCCATTTAAAGCCATATTGGAAAAACCGGCTGGTGATCTATAAAATGACGAGTTGCCGTCTTCATAGGCAAATGTGATTCACTTTTTGAATGCTGAAGTTCACTTTCCGTGACGTTCGGAAATATAATCAAGACGGAAAGGTGTCCTTTTTAGAACATCGTAATACATGTACGTGACCAAAATGCGCGTTAAATCTTAATACAGTGCGCGCTGTATATACGCTAGAACACTCGTATATAGGCGGCCATTTATGAAAGACCGGGGCGAACTGGTCAAAATGTAAATTCAACTATGTGACCGGGTATTGGCATTCACTATCCAGTCTTTATATAGAGATCAGTGGAGGAAAACCCCGGAATGACATTGGAGAAAACCCTTGGAATCAATAGGGACTGAAAACCCCATCCACATGTTTGCCCCTGGCGGGAATCGAACCCGGATCAGGGCAGTGGAAGGCGAGGACAGTTCCCTTAACGCCAATCTGATCATCTCAAAATGTTGACACAAATTTAATGTTTGTACCAAGGAAGAGGCCGAAGACGAGCTGAATTCCATGGAATATGTAGACACCAGCCAGCCAGCTGATGTCGGTGACCCCGTGACGATGGCATCGCTGAACGACGGGTATCAGCATCAGGTCTTTCTCGATTGTCGCCTGAATAGAAATGCACAGTAATGACAGCAACTTGAGGATCTCTAACGGACTGAATATAATTTTAGCTTGATAAATAATAAAAAAAAATTTGAAAAAGAGGTACTTTTCTGTTGTTTTCTGTAATCCGAAACTATAATCAGAAAGAATAGAAAGTAAGTTCTTGGCAGCTTTTTGGGGGAAATTCTTTGAACTGTACATTTAGCTGCCTTTACGTCTGAAACTGTCTTTCACTATGACTATGAAAAAGTGTATGGTATCCATAAGATTTAAATCAGGCCCTTTATAGTTTATTCAATATTCCCTTTTGCTCCAAATTAGCGTATGTATTGTTTGAGATACAAGAGGGAAAAAAACACAAACAAATTATACTCTATATTTCAACTATCATTTAACATAATTTATTAACCATTTTGTGTCGTTTCGTTTTTCATCAACACTCAACAACTGACCAAAATGTTTCGTTTAAAAAATCGTTCACAAACGGAATTGGAGCGAGAGAACCCATTTCGACATGCAGCTCTACTGCGTTTCAAAAGAAGGCGCTGCATGATATTCTTTCCAACGGATCTATATTCTCACCTGTGCCTCGTAATCGCTCAACACGGCTACCAGCGGTTTGATCTCCCAACCACCGAGATACACGCTTTCAAGAGCAATGAAGACGCCTACCATTGTGACCAGCTGGTAGTCCTTCACAGCCTATCAACAAAAACCGTGACATAATAATAATTATGTGAGTGCTAACAAATATTAATGAATGGCACGTTAGAGAGACACTTTTCAGTTCATATTTTACTTTATGAAGACGCTGGTCATATGAGGCAGACATTGGTAATTGGGGAGTTGCTTAATTCCTTAGCTCCACAAAACGTGTAATTAAAAAGGGAAAGTGTTTAGAAATGGGGTTTTGGGAAGATCTGTCTTTGTGGACAATTCTATGGAAATTATTTTAAGTATAATTTTCGTTACTTTCAATTTGAAACAAAAAATAAATAAATAAGTAAATTAACAGGGCCAGATAAAGCTTTCAGTCAATAGGGGTTGGGGGCGATCAACGATGCTTTCTCCTGCATTCTAAAGCCCGGTTCATACCGAAGCAAAATTCGTGACGTCAACAATACGTTCGAAGCGCGTCCACCATTGTTGACGACATGAATTTCGCTTCGCACATGCTTTCGCGTGAAGTATGAACCGGGCTTTAGGCAATTCGAGAATAACTTAAGTAAATTTGGAATTCCAATTATTATTTTGGCCGAATTTCACATTATTCAGCAGCTGCACGGGGAGGGGGGATGTTGCAACCCCAGCCCCCGCCCCCTCAACATCCGCTAATGATTAATGAATGACGACAACATTTGCATCGCTATTGGGTCATGCAAGGGTTACGCATTTCTGTTATTCAATTCATAAAAAAATAAATCACTTACAGAAAAGATGGAATATTAGATTTTAAAAAAGGAGGATCGAGGGAAGCAAGTGCAGTGACAGAGAAGTTATGGGTAGAAATTAGATTACTATCATTCTAGTTTGGGATCAAATTATATTACGTTGGTCCCACAAAGGGCCATTGCCTGTCGTGCCAATCTATCAACTGATAAGACAAAACACCGCGTCGTGCTTTCAAGGATCCTGAAAGCCCGCGCTTTGAGTCTGCGGAAGTCGTTGCAGCTGCTGCGGCAAATAATTGCTTCGATTCGGGAAGTCATCATTCTGCCAAAAAGTGACAGTGGGACCTTTTCAAGATCTCATTGAATTATGTCCCCTTGTGCTTGCAATGATTCATATTGCTTTGAATAACGACATAAAGAAAAATCGGTTGGGTTGTATTCATCTTAAAGTCTTATTAAATTGTATGTATAATTTAATTACGGCAACGGATCTCTTCAAGGTCTCGGAAATGTCTCTCTAGAGGGTTTTATTTGACTTAGTTTGTCTCTGAAAATAAAAAAAAAACTGGAATTAAAAATGAGAGGTCTAGAGGGGTCTCGCATCGGCCTCGACTACGACACTGATAATGTAAGCCGATTATTGAGGGACATTTGGATATCGGAATACATGGTGAGTAAAAAAAAAAGCGAAATCCAAATGTCGGGACAATTGTTTAAGTGAAGTTCTGCATGTCACACTTTTAAAATCTTGCATATATAAGCCCAATTCATAAGCTTTCTTTTAGTATAAGAATCATTCAAATCACTCATGTACTTTTCAAGTTACGGAATTTTAAACACAACCACCTTATTAAAGATCTGTCCATGCACGGATCTCAAAAAAAGACGTGCGTTCTTTCAGCAAAACAACACAACAGACACACACATCCCTATATGATTTGTTTTCGTTTTGCTGAAAGAACACTTACCTTCTTGTTATCCACGGACAGAACTTTCAAACGGTGGTTGTGTTTAAAATCTTGAAAAGTACAATGTACATGAGTGCTTTGAATGATTCTGGTACTAAAAGAAAGCTTATGAATTGGGCTTTCATATCTTATATTTTGAAAGTGCTACAAGCAGAACGTCACTAAAACAATGATCCCGACATTTGGGTTTCGTGTTTTTTTTTACTCACCCTGTATGTAGTGGATGCAAAAACCCTCTTCCTACCCACTTTAAATATAAACAAATGCAGTGGCGTAGCCAGGAATTTTTCAGTGGGGGGGGGGGGGGGGGGGGGGGGGGCGCTGGGGGGCTGGAACATTTCATGGGGGGCGTCAAGCAGGGGCGTCAATTGCTTCTCAAAAGTGTGGGGGGGGACATACCGTGATCATAGCTGATGCAAGCGCGAAGCGCGAAGCCCTTGCGACGTGGGGTTCGGGGCCCACTTAAGGGCCCCGAAAAATGTTGGATTCTAAATGCTCTGTGGTGCTATCTGAGGCAATTTCTGACCACTTTTACCAATATTTTCTAAGCAAAAGATACATTGTAGTACATAATAGGGCCCATGGCGTCATGTAGATCAATGATATTTTTTTTAGAAACTCAAAATCTCAGTGGGGGGGGGGGGGGGCGACTGGGGGGGACAAGGTTTCATGGGGGGCGCGCCCCCCACGCCCCCCCCCCCCGGTGGCTACGCCACTGAACAAATGCAACGGCATTATAGGGCTTTTAACAAAGGACAAAACGCTTGAATATTATCCTCCACATTGGTCCATTAAAACATTATCATTCCATCTTGCTGGGAAAAGCGTGATACGCTGTCATTATTTGCAGGAAACAAATCATTAAAACACATTAATTGTGGTAAAGTGTCTTTCCCAAGGACACACGCAAACAAGAACGTGAATTTGAAACTCCAGACCAGGAGGCCACACGACCGCAATACCGTCGAGTGTTTACCGTAAACAACACTTCATCAACAGTCGTCTGCAATACTCCTTGTTACGTTTAATGATTATAATAAAGCCGTTTTTTTCAAACTTTTTTTTTTCAATATAGCATTGAAGCTCATCGATTTTAGCTGGAGAAGGACCGTTGAGAGCAAAAATTAATTGCAGTTGCTAAATCTTGCTACTTACATAACTTCCTAAACTGCTCCCACGATTCCTAAATGTTGCAAAACATTATGCTTAAGGCCAAAAAAAAAATATTCGGTCTCTGGTCAGACCAAAGTTCAGGAATTGACGCGGGGACGCGGCTTTTTTTTTTTCCCTCAAGCTTGGATTGTACAGACAAGGTGGGGTACTATTTTGCTTTTTTGGTGTCCTCATGTACACTGGTGTCCTCCATAATTTGCCTTGGTGCAATTTCCCATTCCTTGGTGCTCTTTGGTAAAAATAAATAAATGAGGAGGTGCGGCAATAGAGGGCGCTGTTGGAGCTACCGCGGAACAATTTGAAGAAAAAAAAGATTGACGCGCATGATTAAAATCGACGCGCGCGCTGACCAGAGACCGACTTATTTTTTTTTGGCCTAATCGTGCGAACAGCGCGGATCTAACTTGTTCCCACGATTTCGTAATTGGTGCGAACGATTTACCAATGGTGCGAAAGGTTCATTAATAAAGCGTACACACGAGAGCGATTTACCAAATCGTCCGAGTGATGCATCAAAATGAAATGTGCAACCCCTTTCGCGGGATTCTTGTTTTTGTCTATTTACAAGTGAACATACCTTCTTCTCCAGTTTCTTGTTCATGAAGATACTGTGGACGCGCCACGTCTTGGAGAACATTGAGCCGAAGCTTAGGGTAAATCCGAGGGAGAGCATCCAAAGTTGGGCCTGCAGAATAATTCGTCGGAAATATTTATTTATTCATTTATTCCATTTCTTTACCCAGGCTATGCCCAAAATGTTAAAAGGTGGTTTCCATCGGGGGCCTGCATACATTCCAAATTATTAAATAATGTTAAGTGAAGTTAAACTCACAAGGATTAAGTGCATCGGTGAAACATACGACGAACATTAATATTTACAAATACAAGTACATGTTTCTCAGAAATATGAAAGAAAAGTTATTACATTGAACATATGTTTAAACATTCAGGCGTAAATTCCTGATCACGGGATGGGCGAAAACCCCGCAAAAAAAGAAAACACGCTCCAAATTAATACCATGGCAACCAAGTATATAACTCTTTAAATTAGCGCATTTTGAACTAAATAATTAACTGATGAATTTGCGGTATAAGCCTAGTTCTGATTTGAACGTACCTAAGGATTCTACAGTTCTGGGTTGTTCAAAGTATTTTACACATTCGCCCCACTCACATGAAACTTTTGGCATAGCATTCTTTTTGGCTTAAGGGACTTTAGCATTTGGTTGGTAATGTGGGTTATCTCTATTCTGTAGTAACCATATATATATAAGGTTTATTTACTTTATTGGAAATGCATGCACGTGTAAACAGATTCTAGTGAAGTGATCATACATGGCAATCGGGGCCCAATGTCTGAGTGTTTCTTAGAAGAAAAAAATTCTAAGCAAATTATTGTGTCATCTAAGTAAGCAAGAGTGAGCCTGGAATCAGTCACAAGACTTAGTATAATATGCATTGCAAGACATTCTCGCCTGCTAACCTGTTTTTGCTAAGAAAATAATGTACGTGTTGAGCAAATTGTGCGCCTTCCAGTTCCAGGAATGCAGATCTTGCCTTAAGATAAGATTGTCCAAAAGATGAAAGCTTCAGAAATGAATATTATGAATTTCGAAAATTATTCTTCCGTACGTGAACAATATACATTTGTCTCCGTTCACTCACCCTACAGACGTGGTCCATGTTCTCAGCCCCAACCTTTTCCCGATCCAGCCCGTTTAGTATAACCGAGATGTACGTCATGAGGCTTCCCATGATGATCAAGTTATTGATGTTGGGGCTCGACAGTTTGATGATTCTGTGGAGAAAAAAAAACAATCATCAATGTAAAAATCCACCTGCCACAGAACTGACAAAGCTCAAATTTATTTATATTTATTTGCCCAGGGTATGCCCAAACAGTTTAAGGTTACATTTAAAGTTGTTATTACCAGTTTAAATAAATCCTCATTACATTAAAGGGCCACATAAGTCACAACCTGGCAAACATGAAGATTATTCCGATTCCCTCTTGATACAATACCGATATCTTACACAACTGATTTTGTTTTTAAAGAATTGCCGTTATTTTGAATTCTAATAAATTGACAAGAAACAAAGGTGTGTCTTCAATGTATATAAACAGAATAAAATTCGACAGTTACCAACCTTTGCTTTCGTAAGGCAATGTTAAAGATGAGTAGGGCACACGCAAGTACGATGCCCAGACCACACATGGCGCAAATAGCAACAAACGCGGAAGGGGAGATAATCACCAGCCTTTCCTCTCGTCGAATCTCATCGTGGGGAGGTTTACCGCCTTAAGAGGAAAACAATGAAAACAACAAATGAAAACGAAAACCGGGGGAAAAGATTGTCATGATAAGGCAACTAATAGTAATCATTACAAGTTATAAAATCAATAATGTTCTTCACTTTTCATTTTTTTTCTAAAATTCAAAAGGGTGCATGGATTTATTATTTGTAATAAGATATCAGGCATTTCATTATGTGCATAGTAAAATAAAATAGTTCATTTTGTGGCACACCCAGCTAATTTCACGGCTGTCCACTCTAAATCTCTAAATTATATCCCTTTAATATTAAAATAAAAACATTCAAAACACCGCTGTATAGGTTTACGGATTAAGTCTGACATAAAACGCACAAGTTGATACCAATGTCATACATGTCATGATAACTGTACTCGCTGGGAATTGGTTGTATTGATATCACGGTGGCCTTCAATATTTGTATCTAATTCCAGATAAGCTTTCCAACATCGAATACTTACTGGCGAAATGTATTCCACCATCGATCCACTCAAATCGGTCGTCATGGGATAGGAAGTACCCCACTGTTCTGGCAAAACCATCTGCGTATTTATGAAATAAAAAATGGGACTAAATTAAGTTAAGTTGTTGACCAAAATTAACCCTCAGGTGACGTTTATTTTTGAAATCAATAAAAAAAATTGGTTAAAAAGATACCGACATATTGCTTCATTGTGTTTCTACAAAAAAAACATAATCTTAGTTATTGAATCCAGAAATGGCGTCTCAATTCCCAACAAGGTTTCTGAGATTCTATAATAATGAAAAGAAAACGACCCGGGAAAGAACGACGCCAACTACACACGCTCCGGATAAAGTATCCATTTTAGGCAACAGAAGGATGGAATATTATCCTGAAGATTTCGAGTGGATTTTATTTCGTCGGACTGACAGCCGGAACATACTTGTATCACTAGGGAGAATAGTTCATTGACAACTGATGGGGCTACCCTGGTAAAATAACACGAAATAATAACACGAAATAACACTATGACAGGATGGCTTGTAAGAACGTAGCCAAAGTATGACGTGAGAAGACGGATGAGTTTGTCTCAAGAGATTGGAGCGTTCGTAAGAGGATTTCGAAGGGGGGTTATGATACAAAAAACAACAACCATGCATTAAAAGCTTTCAATAGACAAGATTGAACGGACGTCTTTGCATAAGAGCATGTAAATAATTAATTGACGGGAAGTTGATCCATTGGTTGAGGCAATTGTATGAAAAGTGGTGGTCTGTTGGTTGTTTGTCTTGTGTGTTTTCAATAATAAATTTGTGAGGCTTTGCATGATTTACTCGCTTCTACTCGCTTACGGATACAAACTTAAAAAGATTAAACAATGAAGAGCACATTTTGTTTCGAACAATACCTGTTATCTGCTCGATTCTAAATTGTCCCACCCGGTCGCCGTCCTCAGAGAAACTTATTGGACCCTGTGTAAAATTAAGAATTCAAACTTGAAAAAAAAACAGTTTCACCTAAGTAAGAAATGATAGCTTACGGATCGACTCCAGAAGCAAACTTTGTAAAGAGTGTTTAATAAAGTTGATTTTAAAATGAATAACTCTGTTTTCCAATAGAAATCACTGCATAAAAATGCAAGGGATAACTGGAGCTGAGTCAAGAAGACAAAATTTGAACTTTTAAAGATGCTGCTTTTACTAGCCATTTTGGTTGAGTTTTACTAGCCATTTCAGCACAATTGACGATTGATACTTTGGAATACCACTCACTACATTTAAAATGATGACAGAAACGTCTTACCGACACGCCCACAAAATACAAGTCGTCCATGACTTCCATGAAGATCTGCTGCATCTCCTTGTCACCGTACGTAAAGTCCTCCAAGGTTTTGTTTACTGGTGAGAGGAATTGAACTCTCTCTTTACAATCGTTTCGATATCAGAGTCTGCCATTATTTTGTTTGCTTAAGTTTTTGTTAAGTAAGATTTGAGGCTTTGCATGGTGGAGATACTAAATGATGAAAGGTTTGCGGAAACACCATGTGTGAATAATTTCTCAACTAAGAGAATGGTTCTGAAAAGAACCAGAGGTATAAACCCTTATACCTCTGGTATAAGAGTACCAGAGTTATAAACCAGCGTTTTTACCTCTGGTTCTTTTCAGAACCATTCTCTTAGTTGAGAAATTATTATTGGCACATGGTGTTTCCGCAAACCTTTCATCATTAAGTTTTTATTATGAGAACATTGTTGTTATTCAAGTCATGGCTGCTCATCTCTTCTTTTGGTACCATATTGCCTACATGACGAATGGACTACTCAAAAATAAAAGACGCTCGTGTCGGTCGCCGTTCATCGACATTAGAGACACGCATGCGCATAAATGGGTTTCCAATTGGTTACTTTTACAAGCCGTTTTGTACTTCAAGGGCCCATGTAATCTAATTTTCTTTTAACAATCCTTGTCAATGCACGTTTGTGTCCGATTTAACCTTATATTTTGAATTTTCATTTTGCCATTTTGAGGGCATGTTGGGCCTTTTTTGGATTTTATGCTAGTGCAAATTTCCATACTCATGACCTAAAGTGTGATGTCATTTTATGCAGAAGCGTCAATATTACAGCTATTTCAGCACCAAAATTTGCCAGAACTTTAGCTTTAGCCATCATGCGAGGAAATGATGTTACATTTGACATTTTCATTCTTGAATGTTTGCATTTGGTGACCATTACCTTTAAATGACCAAATGACCTAACCCTTTCCAGCCTGTACCAGCTAATGCTCTTTAGCTGGTGCTTGATACCAACTGGGGTAAAAAAAATCAACAATAACAGCGGAAGTGTTTACCAAGTTTTAGCGGCTCGATGGATTTGTTGAGGACCAAAGCGGCCGTGAGCACGGCGTCGTACGAGAGGGAACCGGCGTCCCCGAAGGAGACATTGCCGGCGTACTCGTTATAGGTTTCAAGAAAATTGGATGGAGTCTGAAAGAGAAGAAACGAAAGGAGGAAATTTAATCTCATTTTGAAAATCGGGCGTTTTAATACTTTGGCAAAGGGACACAAGGTCTACCAGGAATGTACAATACAGGGTCCATAGAAACCCTTGTCCTTTAAAAGGCCATCGGAAAATTGGAAGGATCTGAAAGCCGAGGAAACAAGTATACTAAGGAACAGTTAGCTCACATTTAGAATCCTGCGTTAATGCTTTGGCAAGGGACACTAGTTCGTTTAGGAATAAAACTACTAGGAATGTATATAGTTGTGTGCGTGTAATTCCTTGTCTTTTGAAAATAGCTAAAGTGCATATGCAAACATTTTGTGGAGATAGGTTTCAGTCCTCATTACGCCAAACTCCACCCGAAAGTAAATGTGAAGACAATTTCATGACGTCAGCAATTGTAGTTTCATTGTGACGTTCACTGCGACCCAATCGAAATACACCTCACTCTTAAAAAATCCGTGTATATATGAACAGACTATGCTGCGCAGTATTTTCAGTTTGTTTTGCTGATGCATTCTATATTGATTTTTTCGTAAAGTGGTGTCACGTACAAGGACAGAGCTTACAACTTTGTGTCACATCGATCTTGTGGCCTTGAAGAGGCCAGAATGAATAATGAACAGCGGAGCATGAAAACACTTGAAATCACCGCCATTATCGGAAAACATTGACCGGATCGGACCAAGGGCAAAGATCATTGTTCCGGGTGATTCTTGTCTTTCCAACCCAAAGCATCTCGAAATCAATTGGGGGAGATTGTATTATGTCCATGTCTGCTCTGGCTTTTAAAATGCCATCAGCAACCTTGCCAAGTGAAACAATCAAGAGAAAATGACCTGATCGGATGTCACCTGCCATCTGATCTTATCTCGTTGCGGTGGAAACTCGGGAAAACGGTTAAAGAGCAATGTGAAATCCTTATATCAAGCCGTCAGAGTTGTTTGTTCATACTCTTCACTCTGTCAAGGCCAATAGTGTACATTGCGGAAAGCGCACCTGTGTCTGACATAAATTCTGAATTTTCTTCAACTTTGTCGCGTATACATAGTACAAAGTTAATGTCATAAGTAGGCCTATATAAGACAAACTGAGAACTGGATCTACTTAATATGGGCTAGCCAAATACATGTAGGTGATTGCACAACGTCACTTTGCCAGGGTGACGAAAATTACCTTTTTTTCTCTGACCTTTGGATAAACAACATAGGTGACAAGAAAAAAATGTGTACATGTGTTTTGGGCATTTTGGTATAAGAAGACGCACTTTCAAGAGAAACTACAAGCTGTGTACGTCGTGTCAGTTAGATCGCTAATATGTAGGCTGAAAAGGAACGTGTTTAACGAGACAAGCTTATAAACCGCCGCATGTAGTGTGAAATGTTGACCGCTTGATATACGTACCCAAATACCTTATATATATATATATATATATATATATATATATATATATATATATATATATATATATATATATATATATATATATATATATATATATATATATATATATATATATATATCCAATGAAATCGTCTTCTATCACAATTCACAGTGCTCGATACATCTCTGTAGAGCTATAAACATGCAATAAATTCAGAATATTCTCTTTCTGAACAGACTGTTTATGGTACGAAACAGTCTGTTCAGAAAGAGAATATTCTGAATTTATTGCATATATATATATATATATATATGGTATGTGGAATCCTCTTTTTTTGAGTAGGTTTTTCTCGTTTGAAGCAACGAAATTGCTGAAAATCTTAAGAAGGGTGCATAACAACTTATTTGTTAGAGGTTTCAGCTCAGCGGATACCATTACCAAGTATTTTGAGAAAACGGGAAAATTTGTGAGCACAATTTTCGGGGTCTTACAACTTGATTCTTTTGCAAACGCACGAAAACAAATGTGCCAGCGATCATGTGTATGATACCATTGAGCTACAATCCTGGCCAAACCTCGCTGGGCCCCCAACCCCCCAGCCCCGCTCAATGTTGTCTCTCATTGCGCGGTGTGGGCTCCATCCCCTGAAGAGAACAACATTGACCGGGGGAGCGGGGGAGTTGGTGACCGTTGGAGGCTAAGGTTATTTCCAAGTATCCCAACCATTTTGGCCGGGATTGTAGCTCCATGGTGTTACTTACCCTTCCAGTAACTGCTTCGTCCTGATTGTTCGGAAGGAATTGCCAATTTGTGACGATGACGCCCTCTACGGCTTGTTTCATCTCATCGGCAGTGCAGGTTATATCCGGGTCGGGCGCGATCGCCCAGTCCGGGGCAAAGTAGCCAATGCCCCGCAGGATCCAGACGTAGCGGGCGCCGTACAGACCTTGCTTGTAGGCCTGTATGAAAAAAGGTCAGGGTTTAAGGGTTGGGCTTATGAAGTTACGACACAAAACATTATGGCAGTAGTCGGAACATTCAATAAGGTTGGAGGACGTGTGCAAGCTCATCACCGTATGTATATCTATCATTCTAAACAAAAGGGAGAAGTGGACTTTTTTCCCCACAAAACGGCTACAAAAAGAATCATAGTTATATCGACTTTTTCAAGATGTCTACCTTTTCAAGATGGTCGCCACATCCCTTGAGGTTGCCGTGTACGACATAGGCCCGTTTAAGAAATCTTAGAAGTTTAACAGAGCAAACCGGAAGCGATTGTTTTTTTCCTCTGTCAAATATGAAGGTAACTGCGAGATTTACATATTAATTTGTTTCGATTTATTTAGTGAGAGGGTTTCGCCAATAGTTTATACAATCTCGTATTGATTTGCCCGTACGCAGAAGGTTATGTTGTGCCTATACTGGCTGTACAAACACGATAATTATTTTCAGTATGACTTAGGAAATTAAAAAAACATTGATTCGTAGTATAGTCTTGAATTGTATTAGCCTTGAATTATGGTCGAAGACTGTTATGCGAGAGATAAAGCTCCCAGGATCCCCAACGTCTTGTTTAGATCGTCAATACCCACTTGTATTATACTAAGATGCTTATCGGTATTGGCCAAGGTAGGAAAATATTGATCGTTACAGGTTGAATAGATATGTACATCAACTACTTTAGGATAAATTTAAGTTTAAACAAACTTGCCTAAGAAGTCTTAGCAACAACTGCATCATAAGATGCAACAAAGAAAAATTAAAGGGAAGGTTTTAAATAAATTCAGACCGTGCATCTTGATATCAAAACGGTGGATTCAGCACTTATTGTAGTTGGAAAACAATCCTTAAAGTAGCGTGTTTTTCAGAATAGTGATAAACTTTACATTAACCTTTTATACGTCAACGAGTTCCTTGCCTGACTCTTCAAGGCTATTTCACCACTTAACTACAATCAGCATTGTCTAGTTTTTCTTTCACCAAATCTTGTTATCAACGCGAAGACGTCAGTCTAAATTTGACCTTACCTCGCAAAAGACCTGCCTTCCTTGTGCATCCCAGAACAGCCCGATGATGATACGGGCGTCACGCTCCTTCAAGAGACAACAGCAAAACAAACACCGGGAAAATCAAGGTTCACTTCAAAACAGACTCGGAGTGGACGTATTTTGAGATGGTGGGATCGCATGCTTGTAGTGCAGTGGGCTTCAATTTGTCAGTACAAAGCGTTGGAGGATGTTTTGGTCTTAGGGGGATGTTCAGGCTCAGAATCACGTTGGAGGAAGCCCACGTCAGAAGTGAACATTATTTATACAACGAGCAAATTGCTCGTGTCATTCTGGTATTGCATATAAAACGCGTTCCTCTACGCGTCGCAAGAAATATGTTTTTGGTATGAAGTAATGAGCTATTTAACTTACCATAATTGACAACTAATCGAAAAACCGAGCTCACAATTCTGCAATATTTTACATTAAAATGTATCTAAAGATAAAACTTCATGTGAAAAGCTTACTTTCAAAGCCGAACACTAATTCGCTCTAACCCAAGTCAAAACCGTCAAAGCTTTTAAAACCTAACCTATATCTCTCTAAAGAAAAAACCGTAAAAACTGTGGTCTGTTATTAAATACTAAAGTTCATTTGCCACGCATTAAATAAAAACTCTGTATTTGAAATAATTTATTAAAGTCTTTTAGTCGAACAGTAATCTATATAATTATTGCAATTTGGCTATTTAAGGCCCTTTCTGCAGTTACCAAAGAAAGAATTTAAAAAGGGAATCTTATTTACCTTAAGATATGCAACGTGGTTAGCCGGATCATCTTCAAACATTTCGTTCGCCACGATGCTGACATTATGCTCATTAAGCAGATCACGCAAAGATTCCATTACCTTAATTAGAAAAATAAACAAATGTCTATCTTACAAACAAAACGACAAGCAATTACATGTATTTAAAATGCCTAAATTTCTGTATACCACGTCAAAAATGTCGTTTGCTACGATGCTCAACATTGTGTTTATTAAGCAGATCAACCACAAATCCATTACCCGGATCTCAACATGCGAAAAAGCAATTTTGTTTTAAATTGCACCATCAATTCTGGTCTCGGATGGCAGGCAATTATCTAATATTGCTCTCTGCTGCTGGGCTACCTTATTATACATAACGTGTTGTTAAGTTTGCACGCATGCGCAGAGAACGATGGCATCAACTTAGTGGAGTACGATAATAGTGCCCTTTTGCGATCCATTATTTAAAAATCCATTCAACGCTTACCAATTTTACGACAAATCAAACGTGTCGAACAAGTACCGTGTTGACAATATATTCCTTCTTCGGGCCATGTCATTTCAACATTCGTCCCCTGTCACTTAAAGCCTCTCAATCGTATTTGCACACGGCGTCACAAGGAGAGTAAACTTCACGCCTGACGCATGCCTTGGGGTATGCACGCGTCTTATTGACGGAGAACCGTCAGGGGACAGCAGCCTCGGCGGGATATGAAATTGCCACCGTCTCCGAGCTGTCTGTGCTTCATTTGCTTTTTTGTACGCTCCTCCAAGGGTTTGCAAATCAGCCAATACATTTAATATTTTCTGTTATGGGATGTCTTTTAGAAATGTGGGTCGATATCGAACGGCGGAGGGGTAAGGTTTGAATTATAGTGAAAGTTGCAGTTGGATCCACTACTGGTCGATCGAAACCCCTTCACAATTCAAATCACACAATAGGAAGGACACAAACATAACGGATAAACTTGTGCAAAATAAAACCTCTGTCACAGCCTATTTGAAGAGGTTGAGACTTGATTGGAGGCCCGAAGAACATGTTGATTGACCGCGGTGATCTACTCGACTACAATTGCAACTCCGTTAAGAGTTGATGCAATCAAAGACATCGTAATTTCACAGACACTCACCGAACTGAAGACAAGATTGCTGTACCGAATGATAGCGACGCGGTCCCATTGGTATTTGTTAAGTAGGCGCAGCCTGGGAACATTTTGTTGGGAGGCTGACTGCACGGTACGGTAAAACGTCGGACACTCTGTGCGATCGGAAAGGCTTGGCGCTACCGCTCCATAGGTAATCTAGTGGAGGAAAGAATGAATAGGACTCAATGAGTTTGCTTCGCGTCTCAAGGTTGGAATCATTGAGTGAAATTAAATTTAAAATCATGATCTTATGTGCCATATGTTCCAGTTAGACCATCCACCATTACTTGAATTTCTAATCACATTGTATTCAAAAGAACTCTCTGATTAAATAATGTCCAAGGTCTTTTTTTCTCATGTAGGCATATACTGAACAAAGACTTGAATTAATAAAAATTCCATCAAGAACAGACTTGAAGTCAAGTTCTCTCAATTCAATAACAAATTCGTCAGTCTTAAATGAAGTCACGTGCTATCCCAATGAGCGTTGCGAAGACATTCCTTTGTCAATGTTTTGCAACTCGTATAGAGTCGTAGCCTTTTCAAGTCTTGTGATGGTCCCGTGGAAGCAAGGGCGGATCCAGAACACAATTTTTGGGGGGGGGGCCAAAAAAAATGTTGGTCCCCCCAAAAAGTGGGTCAAAAAATTTACGGCGTGGGGTTCGGGGCCCGCTTAAGGGCCCCGAAATTTTTTTGGATTCTAGATGCTCTGTGGTGCGATCTGAGGCCATTTCTGACCACTTTAACCAATTTTTTTTGGAGGAATGGTGGTGGTGTAATCATTGCCTGCCTTTATTGCGATGTCACATAAAAAAAAAAATGGTTTCGTTTTTGGGGGGCCATGGCCCCCTTTGCCCCCCCCCCCCTGGATCCGCCCTTGCGTGGAAGGCTGTGATCCGATTTGTGACTGGCTTGTGAAAGTACTCGGCGACAACTCTTTCAAATACTTGTGCCAGATGCGAACACACGACCTCCAGATTACGCGGGACCCTGTTACCGTGTTCTATACCAAACCGAACCAAATTGGGAATCATAACTAACCAGAATCACGCCAAAAGTCACAATTCTATATCAACTTGCTGAAAAAAACTACAAATTTTGCAAAATTTCGAAAATACCAATTGGAAAATCACGCACCTCAATGACATTGAAGCGAGCCACGGCCCGGCACAGGACAGAGCATTCCTCGGAGTAGAAGCCGCCCAGTAGGAATGGCATAGCTCTGTCTGGCCCGTCGTAGAAATTGCTGTATATGATGTAGTCGGCGTTACCCGAGTTGGGCAGGGTAGGTGTCTGCGGCTGAAACGTGAAGAAGAAAAAATCAATCTAATGTTCATGAATTATTCACTGTCGATATTAAATATGCATTTATTAATTACGCAACTGGACGTGCCATATGGGCCTCATCACTTAGTGATTTACCTCTTAAACCTTACATTATAATTCGTGTCTTTATTAACAAAACAAGACATGTGTAACAAAGCCTAGGACATTATTGTCACAATCACAGGATTCAATGAATAGCAATGTAAGAAGACAATAAGGCAAGGCAATAGAACTGAAAAACCGTTATTTACGAGGAAAACAAAACAGTCCAAATGGGCTGGCTACAAAACGCGCTCTGAACGAGATGATGTTTGTCCGAAATAACATTTAAAAGTAGGATACAAACATCCTCACAACTATCCCTTCAAAACTGGGCGTTTTTGTGTTATTCCTGTATTATGCGTGCGAAACGAATTTTGGGGTCCACTTTTGCGACCCCATAAATTCGAGCTGTTTGGATGCTAGTTGTGATTTCATTCGTAAAGTGTTCGCCTTTTGCGGACGTTGAAAAATATACATTGTTTTGCATTGGTGATTGGTGACCGCTGTTCCCGAGACACACAACGTGTATATATCGTACACTGAGAACGACACGAAAAACGTATTCGTACCCCGTCGTGTATGATGTACACAAGCGGTTTTTTTCCGTCTTTTCTCGGGAACGGTAAGACATTAGGTTGGTTTCCTTTCAACCAGATGTTTGAAATAGGCTAAGTAAACAATCCAAAACGTGAAATTTTCCGGGATTTCAGGACCTCGTGCCCCTTTAATTAAAGGTAAACAATACATTGAACGAAAAAAAATCAAGGGAACTGGAACTGGTCAAGAAAGAAATTCAGAAGAAAGACGAGAGGGATCATTCATCCACTCTGTCGATCCAGACTGATGTATACATGTATTTGGAGTAAAATATTACAAAAGATAATATATAATCGATTAAAGATAAACAATTCAAAAGCGAAAAACTAATCAAGGGAACTGGAACTGGTCATGAAAGACGTTTAGAATAAAGACGAGAGGGATCATACATCCACTCTGTCGATCCAGACTGTTTGGAATAGAATATTACGAAAGATGATACCAGAGCTATTTGGAGAGGCGAGTGATAGATTTGTTGATTTCTTTTTTGGTCTGGGCGCGGAACAGAAATTTGAGACGTTTTTTGTTGTCGGGGTAACTTCTTCATGTTCTATATTGTCAGTTTATTTGGTAAGATCTGCCTCTTTCAATGTTCTCTCTCAAGGAGATGTTGTGCATTCCTTTTAGAACAGTTTCCAGCATAGTGGGACATTTTATGTTTCGGAATTTTGGGAGTATGATAAACTCTTTTCTGTGACGTCACAGTTAAAGAGCCTGTCAACAAAATGCAAGGTTGAGACCACTAGGGAGCTTTATATCCCCAGCTTCAAAATATGGTTTTGTGGTTATACAAAGTAGGCCTACTAGTAAATACAAGAATTGGTATAATACAATATGAAGCAAATCCCTTTTAGGAAATGCTAGAAGTACGTAAACACCACAGATTTCCTTTTTTTTGGCCGAGATAGTAGATAACATCTTAATATATTTGAACACCGTTAAAATAGCGAAGTTTTAAAAAAGTTTACTTTTGAACTGCAAGGCAAGCGTATTAGTCAAATTTGAAGTGTCGAGTTTTTTTTTAGCCAAAAAAGGTCAAGCTATTTGATATAGGCCTATTACAGAGTATCCAGTCACGTTGATTGATAACAAGAGACCGAATTAAGTATAAAGTCCTCGTTTGGGAAACTACCTCGCAGTGCATTGAATAGTACATGACAAAAACGTACATAGGGCCTACGAGGGCACTAAACTGAACTCTAATTCGTTGCAAATGAACTTTAATCGCATCTGAAACGGGGTCCTAATGATTTGAGTAGAATTGCCTACGGGTAACTAATAGCACTCTCCTTTTGCGTATGTGTTGTGGTCTGTTTTGGGACAATAACCTCCATTTCGTTAAACGTCGTCAAAGGATAACAGTGTCCCAGTCTCGTTATCTAGGCCGTAAGCATAATTTTGCAAGTTGGACACACACATTTCCGGGCTTTGGTCCAATTTGAGCAGTACCGGGTAATTGTTTTCGACAACGTTTGACCACGTCCAAGGCAACGATTTACTTCTAAACTTCTTCCACGTTTAGGGTGCACTGGCGCGACTTCCCTGACAGTCAATAAGACACGATTTCGATCCGCTTTATACACAGCATCCGCTGATCACTCAGTAGTACAGTAATTACATTGTGATCGTAACAATGATCATGCTTCCCCAATGCCCTCGTGCGGACATGCGGTCAGAACGGAATTATCTTGATCAATTGAAATTACACGAAATTGAACCTAATTGGAAATAATTCCTGGAATATGTTACGGTGCAGTCCGCTGAATGAAAATGCGGTTTTAATATCGCTGATATCATTTAATCTATGTGGAGTGTGCAGGTATCTCTTTCTGGAAAGAAAACTGTTTTGTGTGTTTCGTTTTTATCAGTGCCAGCTTCCGAATTAATTTCTTGGAATTGCACTCGGCTTTAAAAGTGAGTTTTCATCAAGGACTCCTGTAGGGTCGAGGCACCGAAGTAAAGACATGACAAGTAGGAAAGATGTACAAGGTGGTGCAAAAAAAAGGAAACCCACTTTTGACAGCAATTTTCACCTACTTGTTGAGCATATTTCAAAAATTCAATTTAATTGTATTAAAATATCGATCTTTAAACAAAAGTGACGAAAAAATGATTGCAAACGCATATTTTGTCTCTGAGAAACGGTAGTTTAAAACTGTCATGTGCCAAAGCTGTTTGTCCACGGACGGCTTTATTCCATCCGCTGGACTGAGCTCCGGAGCTTGATTTCAATTTTAAAAACACTGCACTATAGACTTGAACGTAGACAACGGTGATTTTGGTGTCTTTATCAAATTAGCATAATAACACTATTATTGCGATTTTGTAAAGATTTGTTTTTCACCATGTATGCTTGAAGAGCTATACTTCACTACATTATAAACAAACAGTCCAAATAGGTGAAGTAAGTAGGTTAAAATTCCTGTCAAAAGTGGGTTTCATTCTTTTTGCACCACCCTGTATAGCGTATATTAAGTCCCGGTAAGCACAAAATGACTTTCAAATATCTGCGCTGATAATTATGTGACTTGGAAAAAAAACGCCGTGACGATTATATCCTTCTCCCTCACATTCGAGTTATTGTCAAAAATTCTGTAAGGCAGACAATAATGCTTTGACACAAGCTATATCGCTGCCAGCTCGTTCGACGCGAAAGGTTGCAAAACAACCAAACCTGCGAAGCTATCAGACGGGATTACATATTCAAGAAAAAAACTGAGATTACATTGCTTTGACGACTGAGTACATTCCCCTGGGTTATGTGCTAGAGCCGTTTCGTAGCGGGTTCTGGTCCCAAGACGGGTGCTCACACTAACACTTTCACATAATCCTACCCGTTGAATGCATAGCTTGCCCCCCTACAGAGAAAAACAACATTTGCCACAGCGTCTCTGGTTTCCTGTCAGAGAAAAAATCCTTTATGTCACCTATTAAGCTTTTACTGTCCAAAGGCCCTCAACTCCTTCCCCGCGGCGGCTAGAAATACGCTCCCACTATAGCTTTTCTCTCACGCCGGTACTAGACCATATTTGCAAGTCCAAAAATCTTAGCACGTGATAATTATGTACGGAATAGTCTGGTGCCTTGGCCTGCTTTAAATCAGTGTTTGTATTTGTAAAATGAATCAATTTGTAGTGGATTGAGATCGAAAAAACACATGATTTACTTTTGTAATTACAATGATACAAATCTTAACCAACCTGCAGTTTCATACATTAATTATGATAATAAGCAAAATGGAAAGTGTTAGGGGAGTCAGGCTGGCGTAGTGGTTCTTTCCTCGCCTTCCACCGCTATGCCCGCGTTCAGTTCCTGTCCGGACCACGTGTGGATTGGGTTTTCAGTCCCTACCTGATTCCGTGGGTTTTCCCCAGAATATTCTTCTGGGGCTTTCCTCCCACCTCTAAAACTGTAATTTCTCCTCATTGTCTTCTTTCTACAGGTTTCTTCAGGCTTGCAAGCTAAATGGAATCCTTGGTTTCATTTCCAGAAACCCAAAAAACTGAATGAATTGAAGTAAAATTGAATTGACTGTGTTTGAGGAGGATTGGACGTAGACATTCACAACGAACGTTAAACACACTGGAATTAATCAGTACTCAATATAAATCAATTACTTGTATTTGTGGGATCGAATCTTCTATACAGGAAGCAAGTCCCCCCCCCCCCCTTCCAGAGGCTACTATTTTCTCGAGGTTGAGAGTAGACTCTGGGGAAAAGGCCTTAACTTCTCGAGCAAAGAGGAAGATCATTTCAAAACACTTTTGGAAAACATTGTCTCATACGCATCGGCCCAACAGCTTTGTAGCAGATAAAAGGCGGTACATAATCCGATCAATTTTGATTGACAAGACGTCAAAAACAATAACTTCTTTACTTTAAAATTGAAATTAACCTGTCGCTTTTCTGTGTTTTTACTGCACGTTGAGTAATTAAAAGAATTTTCAACGGATGAAAGGGAAGTAATTAGGGATACAAATTTGACGTTGTGAGGGTAATATTAGGTCTTCTCATTTATAATAAACTTTGTCAATTTTGTTCAACTAATTAGTGTCTCTCGTTTGCTGATACGTCAAAAGATTTTTTTTCAATTATAAGACCTGGACACAAATCGGGGTTGCCCAAGTTGGCTGAAGTACAGATACTATTGTCACGTACGCACAATAATTGTTCGTGATTGGACGAGCAGGGGCGTAGCACGGTCATTTTTATTTAGGGGGGGGGGGCAAACATTTCTTGAAAAGGGCATTTGCACATCCGTGCTGAAATGTAGACAGGGTTTTATTCCGGACACTACGCCCATGACAAGGGTAGAACAGGATTGGAATAGTCCA